ATAAATTTACTCCAGTCTTTTTGGAATGCTTGATCGTGCTGGTTTTGGATTTTTCCCGTCAGCTTTGCCAGTTCTGCAAAGTCCATCATTTTCACCTGCCACTCTTATTTCATTTGTAGCATTTCATACTCTCAGGTATACTTCCATCAGACAAGGTATCTCCAATTAGCCATCACTCTTGTTAAAAACAAACTCAGATGGTAAGTGCAGGATTGATGGGACAAGAGGGAGATGTCAGTGTGCACAGGGAAGCCCTGATGTTTGCAAAGGTGCCCCCCTAAATGTAAAAAGTGAATCCGAATTAGAGGGAGGTTCAGCCCACTGTAAACTGAACATACTCACTGGCTATGGAATGCTGAGTAGAATTCAGCAGGTGATAAATGAGGGGGAATGGAATGGAGTAGCTTGGAGTAGGGCAAGGCTCTTCTGACTGGCTGGGAGGAAGGAAGGAAGGAAGGAAGGAAGGAAGGAAGGAAGGAACAGACCTTCATCAGATTATAGCTTTTGCCCAAGCAGATGCAATTTACTCTTGACAGTTAAGCTGCTATGGTCGTCGAAGGACTGTGGAATGTCCCTCCACAAATTTGCCCTTTCCTGAAAGGCCATTCTGCACTGTTATTCTACTTTGTTGGAACGACGTGAAGACGGAGAGCTGAGAGCCCTGGCAACGTTTCCCTCCCCAAATTCCCTGAACGCCACTCTGCTCCCGCGAAGTGCCTCTGATATCTGGGAGGCCTGCTGTTGCATGCAGAGAACTGGCTGCGGTGTTATTAAATGGATTTCATTTTTAATTGTGTTTGGGGATTTTACCGTCTGGCAAGGAGAGGCCCTGGAAATGGGCTTTTCAGCCTGCCTAATTTAAATGCATTCATGAATGCACAAAAACACAGCCTGGATCTTGCGCCTTGCCCAGTAGCATGTGTTGGCTCAAACAGCTCGGATTTGCAGTAATCCCTTTTCCTCTCCAGTAACCTCCTTACTATCTTCAAGTTTTTGCCCTCCTCCCGCCCCACCTTGGCCTCGCTTTTAATTAGTTGGTTGCTCCTTGTGTCTTATTCAATGAACTTTTTGTGTGATTTGGGCAGTTCAGGGAAACTCTGAGGTAGCAACAAGTTGCACTTTGAATAGCAGCTTTCCAAACATAGCATTCATGGTGTCAACAGAAGCAAAGGAACTGTGGCAGCATTTTGAGGGATGCAAGCTTGAGGATGGTAGATGAATCATAGAATCAAAGGACTGTAGAGTTGGAAGGGACCAAAAGAGTCATCTAGGTCCAGCCTCCTGCAATTCAGGAATCACGGCCAAAGAACCCCTGGCAGATAGCCATTCCGACAAAACACACAAAAGATCTTTCTGAGCTGTTTGACAGTGGAACAGTCTCTCTCGGGAGGTTGTGAATTCTCCTACCTTGGAGGTTTTTAAACAGAGGTTGGGTGGTCATCTGTCATGGATGCTATAGCTGAGATTCCTGTGTTGAAGGGAGTTGGACTAGATCAGCCTTTCTCAACCTGTGGGTCCCCAGATGTTCTTGAACTACAGTGGTGCCTCGCAAGACGAAATTAATCCGTTCCACGAGTCTCTTTGTCTTGCGGTTTTTTCGTCTTGCGAAGCACGGCTATTAGCGGCTTAGCGGCTTAGCGGCTTAGCGGCTATTAACGGCTTAGTGGCTTAGCGGCTATTAACGGCTTAGTGGCTTAGCGGCTTTAAGAAAAAGGAAGCAAACTTGCAAGAACTCCCAAGATGTTTCGTCTTGCGAAGCAAGCCCATAGGGAAATTCGTCTTGCGGAACGACTCAAAAAACGGAAAACTCTTTCGTCTAGCGAGTTTTTCGTCTTGTGAGGCATTTGTCTTGCGGGGCACCACTGTACAACTCCCACCACCCCTAGCTAGTGTGATAGGAATTTTGAGGTCTTAGATATATGTTAAATGTTCATAAGTGCACCAACCAAGCTCGTACATACAGTAGATCAGCACAGGAAGACCTGTAGCCATTTTTGATTCCCAAACTGACCAAATGTTTTCTCTGCAAGGTCAAAGGAAAATACAAAAGCCTCCCCATTGTCTTTTCTTTTACAAATCCTGTCTTAAGGGCACATTTAAGATATGAATAGGGTGGGAGCCTGTGACCTGGCTCAGGAACTAAGTATTTATCATTACAAAAGACTGGCCAGGCTCCCCAGGCAATCCAGTCAAGTGACCATTAAACAGGTAACCTGGCAGACAGGAGGTAAACAAAGCACTCAGATTTCTGCTGTAGACCGCCCTTTCTGTTATGTAGGTATGATGTATCTGGGGTGGTGGTCTTGAGCTACACCCCTTCTGTGATGTATGTTTGATGTTTCTGGGGGCAGTCTTGGACTCCAGGGAAGGAATTTAAAATTTTGTTCTGGGTTCCTCCCTCCTGCGTGTGGTGAGTGAGGATCCTGTTGCAACAGATCAATAAAGATCAGGCTTACTAGCTGCTTTGCTTCTCAATATTCTCTGGTTGGCCTCTGCTATTTTCTCCTACCAATAGGGAACCTATGTAAGGACTCTATATGGGCTCTTGGATACCCCATAAGGGAAAAGGGAAGATTTTTGTTTACAACACTAGCAAGGCCAGAGCTCAGAGATGATGGGAGTTGTAGTCCAACAACCTCTGGGGACCCACAGGTTGAGAACCACTGGACTAGATGATCCTTGGGTCCCTTCTGACTCCACGATTCTATGAATGTCAGCTTAAGATCCTGCAAGAATCAATCAGTCAGAGGATAATCTAGAGGAGCGCTGTTAGTTCTCCTCCACTATCCTCAGCCAGAAATCAGAAATTTAGAACCGCCGGTCCCAGGCTAAGGAACATTCTTCCACCAGGGATGTAGCAGGCATCCTCACCTGTGACTTTCAAGCTCTTTTGATGACTTTTTTTATGCAGACATCCATCCTGAGGTGGCGCTGTGGGCTAAACCACAGAGCCTAGGGCTTGCTGATCAGAATCTTGGTGGTTCGAATCCCCGCAATGGGGTGAGCTCCCTTTGCTCGGTCCCTGCTCCTGCCAACATAGCAGTTCGAAAGCACGTCAAAGTGCAAGTAGATATATAGGTACCACTCCGACGGGAAGGTAAACGGCATTTCTGTGCACTGCTCTGGTTCGCCAGAAGCGGCTTAGTCATGCTGGCCACATGACCCAGAACCTGTATGCCAGCTCCCTCGGCCAGTAAAGTGAGATGAGCGCCGCAACCCCAGAGTAATCCATGACTGGACCTAATGGTCAGGGGTCCCTTTACCTTTACCATCCTGGGAGAGGAGAAGGGTACAGATGGAGCTGTTTGGCAACCGGCTGGGTCCCGCGGCCCGTCTGTGAGCCGCCTGCGTGCCATTACGATCTCGCACTGGGCAGCGGCACACACGCAAAACCACAAAGGCTTAAATCTCAGGATTTGCAAAGCGAATCTCTCCTTCCATCTTTTCTCCAGCCTCCCCCGTCATTCCGTGACACTAATGCTGGCGAAACAGAGATTAGGAAAGCTTCTACTGAGCTAAGTGGAGACTGCAGCTGGGAGATAAGTGAGCCGGCCTATCTCTCTGGAGCTCATTTGTTCAACTTCGCTCACTCAGAACCATTCTGACTTGGAAATATTGGCCTGAATACAAAATCGCTGGCTGGCATATATCTTTCGCCTGATCCTCACCTCCGCGAGTGAGATGAACGGATCATTAATGGGCCCAGCAAAACTTTTTCCGGTGGGAGGAACAATCTTCCGGAATGTCAAAATCCATTGTTTGGAAATGTAATGTCTCATTTCTGTATGCAAAGCTCCATGGGACATTGGGGAAAGTTCAGCAGGATGCAAGTCAGATAGCTGATTTCAGTTTCCCCTAAGTAGCCCCTGGTGTGCAGGCTTTTCCAGGAGTTGCTCATTGAATCATATAATTGGAAGGGAACCTCAAGGCTCATCTAGTCCATCCCACTGCAATGCAAGAATCCCAGCTAAAGAATCAAAGACAGACAGACATCCAACCTCTCTTCAAAAACCACAAATGAAGGAGAGTCTAGAACCTCCAGAGAGAGCCCATTGTACTGCCCAACAGCTTTTACTCTCAGATGGTTCTTCCTAATGTTTAGCTGGAATCTCCTTTCTTGTAATTTTTTTAATTAAAAAATGTTTTTCAAAGATTTACAGACATACAAATCACAAAACCACAAATCACATACATTTCTAATATAGAGCCAGATGGATCAGTGGTCTAACTTAGTATCAAATAGCGTCTGATGTTGTTTGTAGTAGATGTTTGTCTGCATAGAAGGGCATTCTTCCCCACTTGATGTCACCCTGCTTTTTGTGCCTTCCTTTTGACTTTTGTTGCTGTTGGTTAGTCATTTAGTCGTGTCCGACTCTTCGTGACCCCATGGACCAGAGCACGCCAGACACTTCTGTCTTCCACTGCCCCCCGCAGTTTGGTCAAACTCATGTTGGTCGCTTCGAGAACACTGTCCAACCATCTCGTCCTCTGTCGTCCTCTTCTCCTTGTGCCCTCCATCTTTCCCAACATCAGGGACTTTTCCAGGGAGTCTTCTCTTCTCATGAGGTGGCCAAAGTCTTGGAGCCTCAGCTTCAGGATCTGTCCTTCCAGTGAGCGCTCAGGGCTGATTTCCTTCCTTCAGAATGGATAGGTTTGATCTTCTTGCAGTCCATGGGACTCTCAAGAGTTTCCTCCAGCACCATAATTCAAAAGCAGCAATTCTTTGGCAATCAGCCTTCTTTATGGTCCAGCTCTCACTTCCTTACATCACTACTGGGAAAACCATAGCTTTAACTATACAGACTTCTGTCGGCAAGGTGATGTCTCTGCTTTTTAAGATGCTGTCTAGGTTTGTCATCACATTTCTCCCAAGAAGCAGGCATCTTTTCATTTCGTGATTGCTGTCACCATCTGCAGTGATCATGGAGCCCAAATCCCCACAGCAACCCTGTGAGCTAGGTTAGGCTAAGAGACAGTGACTAGCCCAAGGTTACCTTTGATGTTCATGGCCCCTTGGGGATTTGAACCCTGGTCTCCCAGATTTTAGAATCTGACACTCTAATCACTAAACCACACGGGTTCGTGGGGGGGGGGGAAGACTCTCCATACATGCTGTGCACATGGGGGGTAGATTATAACAGGCATATTCCACAGCTCCTTTGAACCAGCGTGGTACAGTTTGCAACGAACATTTGCACCCTGGGGCTGATAATTCCTTTTGGCCCTTTCTTTCATCTTATTGAATTCTCCTTTTCGTCCATCAAGGAACCTGACCTTAACTTTCTGATGTAGCAGAAATGTGTCTCTGCGGGGAATCATTTGCAGCAGAAATGATTTTTTCTTTTCTTACTTACTCAGGTTTAATGCCCCGTGATATTTTTTAAAGGTATATATATATATATATATATATATATATATATATATATATATATGGATTATGGACTTAAAAGGACGTATGTCTTGACCAAGCGCTCTTCCCCTTTCTAAAATGAACGATAATTTCCAGGCTTTTGCTTAGTTAGCATTGATGGAGGGAGGCTACTGGATGGGGAGAAATCTATCATCCTATTACGGTTCTGGAGCTAAGATGGGCCACATAAGGGCAGCCCAATTATAGGGATGAAATAGATGGTGTGGCAGGAAAGTAGAGGTGACAGATGTTGAGAACATCCTACATAAATAAAGGCCAGTTCTGGACTAATTAATGGGCTAGCAAAATGCCTATTATGATGATAGATGCAGGGGAGGAGATTTGCTCTACACTACAGTCCCACAACAGAGGTAGAGCTCCTGTCATGGTCCGGTTCACAGGTGGTCGCAGTCCCGGCTGGGGACGTCGGGACCGGGGGCAAGATGGCAGGGTGGGAGCAGGAACGGGATTCCAAAAGCCAGGAGTCAGGAAGCCAAGGGTCCGAGGATCAAGAAGCAAGGAGTCACGAAGTCAAGGGTCCGAGGATCAAGAAGCAAGAAGCAAGGAGTCATGAAGTCAAGGGTCCGAGGATCAAGAATCAAGGAGTCATGAAGTCAAAGGTCTGAGGATCAAGAAGCAAGGAGTCAGGAAGTCAGGGGTCTGAGGATCAAGAAGCAAGGAGTCAGGAAGTCAAGGGTCCAAGGATCAAGAAGCAAGGAGTCACGAAGTCAAGGGTCCGAGGATCAAGAAGCAAGGAGTCAGGAAGTCAGGGGTCTGAGGATCAAGAAGCAAGGAGTCAAGGAGCCAAACGCAGCAAGGCAGGGAACGTGTTGCTGTGGCAAAGAGCAGAAGGGAAATGCTGACCTTATATCCCTTCCCGGCTCTTGCCACCAGGTGCTGTGAGTTACCAGTCAGCCTCACCTGTGCTGCCGTGCCTTGCCTCTTCAGAACAAACTTAGGAAGGCCCCAGTCTTGCAAAGTCCTACTGGTCACAGGGCCTGGCTCCTGCACACACTCCTGACAGCCCCCAGAGCAAAGGAAGTAATGGTGCCACTCTATTCTGCCTTAGTCAGACCCCACCAGGAGTATCAACAGTACTGAGCTCTCTGTCTGAAGATTCAGGACAGGGAGAAGAGAGTACTTCTTCAATTAGGACATAGTTGAACTGTGGAACTCGCTGCAACATGAGGCAGTGATGGACAGCAAGCTAGGTGGCTTCAAAAGAAGATGAGGCAAATTCATGGAAGAGGTCATCAATGGCTATTCACTATGATGTTTATGTTCTCCCACAGCTGGACTCAGAAATGATTCTGGAAACCAGTTGCTTGAAAGTGCAGGAGGGGAGAGGGCGTTTGTGCTTGGATCCTGCCTGTTTGCCTTCCATTGATGCATCTGCTCAGCTATCATGACAGGATGCTAGATAATTATTATTATTATTATTATTATTATTATTATTATTATTATTATTTATACCCGCCCACCCCAGCCAAGATCAGGCTCATGGTGGCTAACACAAAATATAAAAACAATTGATTGAAATACAGCTTTAAAAACAAGATTAAAATACAACATAAAAACATTAAAATGCAGCCTCATTTCAGTGGAAACTCAAATCAAAAACTTTTTGCGGGGTGAAAACGTCAAGTCTTCACCAAGGCTAACTATCCAGACTGGTCCTACGTTGGCCAGAAAAAAGCCAGGGAAGTCCCCAAATAGGAGTTCCAACACAGAAGGAGAAAGGAAAAAAGAAAGAAAGAGGGGAAGGGGATCAAGCTGATTCCAAGCCAAAAGCCAGGTGGAACAACTCTGTCTTACAGGCCCTGCAGAAAGAAATCAGATCCTGCAGGGCCCTGGTTTCATGGTTGAACCAGTGTTGAAAAGGCCCTGGCTCTGGTTGAGGCTAATCTGACTTCCTTAGGGCTTCCTCTAGGGTGTTATTTATGGACCTTAAGGTCCTCCGTGGGGCATATTGGGAAAGGTGGTCCCGTAGGTACGAGGTTCTTAGGATGTGGGACTAAATGGGCCATTGGCCTGATCCTGCAGACTCTTCTTATGTTATTATGATCAGTTTCAGCCTCTGGATTTGAGATGACCAGTCCTAAACTTTTTCCTTCCACCAGTCCTAAACCAGTGGAAACTAGCCGTCTCGTTGAAATGAAAAATGCACCATCCCTCACTCCTCCTCAGAACGAACATACTATAGTGTGGGCTGAAACGCTGGGAGATTAAGGGAAATGTGCGCCGTCAGCAAAGCAGAGGGAAGAGAAATTGGAGGGAGGATGGAAATGCCATTTGTGAAGGCTTAGAGTTTGACAAAACCAATGCGCTCCCCTGCTTTTGAGATAACTGATGATCTGATGTCGTAGCCTAGATGGGCGATAAACTGAATCACAATGAAAATAAATCCAGAGGGATTAGAAAAATGAAAGTCTGTGCAATTCCATTTCTAGCATCCATTAGGAAAGGGGGGGGGGGAACCCACTGTTGGGTTACAGGGGGCAGGAGGGAACATATGCAAGTAAACTCGGGCAGAGTAGCCATAGATCAGCAGAAGCACATCCGTGGCACGTGGCCCATTTTGTAACCGATTTCCCTGTTCCCAATTCCACTATTTGCTTAGTGCACAGCTCTGGCCAAATTGCTGGCAGATTCTCTGCGGTGATAAGGATTAACTAGGCAAATTAGGCCAATTTGAATAAATTGGCTTAATCCGAAATGTTTGCCTCCCTAAGAAGATGAAAACTAAGCCGTGGCTTCCCTGCTGAGCAAGATATTCTGCTGCCCTGAGCAAACTTGAGTGCTTTAACATGATATACATGCAAGAACAACAGTGGGAGCGGGCTAGCTCTCTCTTTTCTGGGAAGCCGGCTGATGAATTCAGCCTGCTGCAGGGTTCATCAATGGCTACTAGCCATGATGGCTGTGCTCTGCCTTATTTGCAATTCTTTGCTCTCACAATGGTATTGATAATGCGGTGATAGATGGACGAAAGATCTGCCTCAAGGCAAGTCAGATTCCTGTGTCCCAGGTGTGCTCTATCTCCAGTGCTCTGATGTCAGCAACTGGCTGGACGAAGAGGAGTCGTGGGTGGTGCCAGCTGGGGAACCCCCAAGGGAGACCCCAGAAGAGAAAGGCTTAGAGTCAGGGGATTGGTGGTGGGACACTGAGGAGAGGTCAGAGGGAGAAGATTGGGAGGAGGGGCTCGATGCTGAAGAAGAAGAGTTGGATTTGATATCCCGCTTTATCACTACCCGAAGGAGTCTCAAAGCGGCTAACAATCTCCTTTCCCTTCCTCCCCCACAACAAAGACTCTGTGAGGTGAGTGAGGCTGAGATACTTCAGAGATGTGTGACTACCCCAGGTCACCCAGCAGCTGCATGTGGAGGAGCAGGGAATCGAACCCGGTTCACCAGATTACGAGTCCACCGCTTTGAACCACTACACCACACTGGCAACAGGATTTAGTGAGCAGGAAGAACCTGGGACAGAGAGCAGTTCAGACTCTGAGGCGGAAGCAGAGGAGGAGAGTCAAGAGGCTTTTGAAGAATTAAGGGAGTCTCTCCCTCCTCTCTCCTCCCCTGGTCTCCAAGAACATGCAGAATAATGAGACAAGCAGAACAGAGACCAAAGGTGTGCAGAAGCAGTTTGAGATTGCTTGGGAAATATCCAGGAGCCTGAGAAAGGGTGGAAGGCAGGGATGGTCAGTCCTCGCAACCAGGGGCGTCGCAAGGGGGGGTGGGAGTGGTCTGACCTGGGTGTCATGCCTAAGGGGGGTGACAAAATCCTCCAGTGCGGATCAGCGTTGTGGCGCTTGCACCCCCAGCGGGCGTATTTTTGCAATCGGCGCAATCTTCTCTGAAAATCCACCTGGGGGCCATGCAAAGACGCCCGGCAGGCGGCGCTTTCACCCCACCGGCGGGCAGAGGGTGCTCCCCCAGCGCCGCATGAGGATCGCGGCGGTGGCCCCATGGGTGTGTCGCCCCACCCCTACCGCACTGGGTACCAGAGGAGCTAGCTACGCCCCTGCTTGCAACTGCTCCACAGGGGCAAAACCTGCTGGGAAGGGTTGCTGAGCTGTATGTCCGTTTCCTTGAATAAAAAGTTGACTTCCCTCACAACTGGCTCTGGTTCATTGTGCTGACCTGGATCTGACTCCAGCCCTGACACCTGATGGAGTTGGGATGAGCACTCGGCTAAAAGGTTTGCAGGGCAGACATGGAACACTTGTGCTAAGAGGCACATTTCATGGAGGCGAAGGTTATCGATGGCTCCTAACCATAATGTCTATGCTAGACCAATTGGACCATTAGCTTGCTCCAGCTAACTTTCTTACACTGGGTTTGTGCAAACCTTCACTTCCTCGAGCCCCCAAAGAAATTATTTTGGCATCCCTAGTATTGGTGGGCTGGGGGTGGGGGGGGAATTGTCAGGAGCTCATCCTACTCTCGAGTAGGACCCTGGCAGAGACACATGCCCGACTGGCATGTTCCCTCCATCCTGGTGGATCATTTGGGAGCTTCCAAAGCTTTCTTCTGCCTGAACATCACAGCGACCGATGCCAACAGACATTGGCACACTTAGGGATCCGCAGAGTTTGCACAGTTTGCGTAAGAGACCTCAGCAACTCAGCTTTTTGGCTAATCTACTTTATTTACATATAAACACA